GTCAGCCAGTTTTCCCAGCACCATTTACTGGACAGGTTCTCCTCTCTCCATTCATTGGTGAAGACTTTGTGAAAGATGAGTTGGTTGAGAAATTGAGGTTTTGCTTCTGGAATCTCTATCCTGTTCCATTGGCCTATATTGCTACTTTTGAATTATATTGCTAATTGATTACTTCTAATGTAGAGAAATGCTATTCATTTTTTGTAAGTTGAATTTGCACCTGGTAGCCTTCATAGACTCCCTTATTAATTCCAAAAGTTTGTTTATTCTGGAAAGATTTAGAGTTTTATCTTTCTATCTTTTATTTATTTTTACTTCTTGTACCAATACCAGGCTGTTTTGATTACTGTAGTTTTATAATCGAGTTTAAAATCTGGGAGTGTGATACTTCCTGCTCTGCTTTTTTTGCTGAGGACTGTTTTGGTGATTCATGGTCATTTATGTATCCATATGAATTCCTGTATTGTCATTTCCAGGTCTGAGAAGAATGCTGCTGGCAATTTAATGGGCATTTCATTAAATGTGTAGATTGCCTTGGGTAGGAAGGGCATCTTAACAATGTTGTTTCTTTCAATTCATGAGCATGAATATTTTTCCATTTGTCTGTGTCATCTTTGATTTCTTTGAGCAGTGTTTTGTAGTTTTCATTGTAAAGGTCTTTCACGTCTCTGGTTAGGAAGATGCTAAGGTGTTTGATTTTTTTCTGGTTATTGTGAATGGGATTGTGCTTTGTATTTGGGTTTCTATTTATTTGTTGGTGGTGTATAGAAATGCGACTCTCTTTTGCACATTATTTTATATCCTGAGACTTTGCCACAGTCTCTTATCAGTGGTGTGCAAAGAGAGATAATTTGACTTCCTCTTTTCCTATTTGGATACCGCTGATCTCCTTCTCTTGTCTGATTACACTAGCTAGGACTTCCAAATTGTTTTAAAAGTATTCTTCTGTTGAAAGTTTTAAAACAGTTAGGTTAACTAAAAATTTTGATAAATTTGTGTATTACCCTCTTCCAAAAAATATGCACAGCAAACAGAGAAATTTACATGCATTCCCGTGAAATTAGAAGTGATTCAAAAATGTTTACCACCATCACTAGTATCAGAGACCCTGGCAAACATACATGGAAATGGAAATAAATAAGAGATAGAAGGATAAAACTCTAAATCTTTCCAGAGTAAATAAACTATTAGAAATAATAAGGGTATCTATGAAGGCTACCAGGTACAAATTCAACTTACAAAAAATGAATAGCATTTCTCTACATTAGAAATAATCAGTTAGCAATATATTTCAAAAGTAGCAACAAAAACTAATCCATGTACATACTCATGGATTAATTTAATGTAGCATACATGCAACCTTTAACCTATGCAGGGCATAGAAGACTATATGAATAAATGGAAATTCATTTCAACAAATGAATACTATAAAGATGCCAATTCTCTCCAAATTAATCTATTCAACACAATGTCCCTCAAAATTTCAGCTGAATTTCATTTTAAAAATAGGATATACTTTCTCTAAAAGCAGTATTTTAAAAATTACATACACCAAATCAATCCTGAATACACGAGGTTTGTCTTTTTCAAATATTAAGACAAATTTCAAAACCACAATAATAAAAATAGTATTTCTTCCTTTGGCCCACACTCCAGCCACACTAACCACCTTGCTGTTCTTGGTTATGCTAAATACATTCTTACTTCAGGGCCTTTGCCTTTGCTGTTTCTTTTCTTTGGAATTTTCAGCCCTTATTCTCATACTCTTCTCTTGTTGCTGCCTTAACTCCCTTTCATCTCTCATATTACAAATTAAATGTTACTGCCCCAAGAAGGTACATTCAAGTTTCCCTTGGCCCTGTCCCATTATTCCTTTCTGCAACCCATATAGCATTTATTTTATAAATATATAAGTATGTACTTGGTGTCTTGCTTATTACCTGTCTTCTCTTACAGACTGTGAAATCTTTGAGGGCAGATACCCACATTGGCTTTATTCATCAATTTTCACCACATTATTTATTAGTGTCCCCAGACATTTTTTCATACTTTGTTAAACATTTTTTCTTTCACAAATGTCCTGCCTATACACTTCACACAATTTTGTTTTCATTTGCAATGGTTACTCTTTTTTTGTAAGAATCTGTCGGATAGTAACAATATTATATGTATTACATGGTTTGGGGATTACTTCTTTTGCTTGTAAACTCAGAAAAACCTATCTCCCACCCTGAGTCCAGATAAACATTCAGTTACATTTTTAGTTATTTTATTTTATTTTAAGATATTTTACCTTTAGCATGTTTGTAATTTATTTAAGCATGTGGTAATAAGAGCCTAAATTTATTTTTCCCCAAAGGATAGCTACTTGTTATCTACATATTGATTGATGTCATACCACATATTGATCAACTTTTCCTTTCTTTCACTGAAATGCTAGTTTTTTCTAATAAACTTTTATATATACTCAGTGTGTTAAAGGCAAGAGTCAAGATTTCAATGCCATTATGATGATATTAATCCAGAAACACAGGGAAGTCTTACTTACTTCTTCCCTTATGGTTCTCGACTATGAAAACTATAAAGAATACAGACAAATGACAATCAATAATACTTCTGTAACAGCCAAGCCAGAGTCCATTAATCCTTACGGCAGAACTCTGATAACAGAAACGTTAAAGAGCAAAGCTTCAATGTAAAGACCTAAACAAGATTTTATCTTCCTGGTCCCATTAAACTAAGATGGCTAAGTTTGTAGTACAGACCCTGTCCTAACCCACATATCCAGTTCGCCTAGTTTCAGGCACAGGTCAGTTTCCCACATGGAAAAAGCATGTTCAACAAACATCTCAGCTCAATATTATTGTCAATTTACACACTATTTCACAAGGCGATCACATACATATCATGATTACAAATACCATAGTTGAAATAGTTATCAGTTACTACAATAGTTATCAGTTACTATTGTAGCAGCTAATAACCCTTAAATCTTTATATCTGTCTTAGGTGTCTCTTCCAAGTTATAGACCCATATCTCAAACTGAGTGTAATCTCCTATCCTTAAGGTTCCCTCACTTCAAATTGACGTCTTATATGACCTCACACCCTTGGTGATCTCACACTCAGTGTTCAAAACTAAACTTAATATGCCCATACTCTAAAAAACAAACAAAAACCATCCCCTTCTTCCTGCATTTCTTATCTACTTTGTGAATGGTACCACTACCCAAGTGCTTAATTCCAAAACCTGCTTATTAACAGTGACTCTACCATCCTCCTAATCCCTTCAACACCTATTCAATCATCATGGACTATTGATTCTGCCTTACCATCTCTCAAACCCATCTCATTCTCTCCATCTTTATTTCTTACCACCTTTGTTAAAGCCATTATCATCACTTTTATAGATTACGACAACAACCTCTTAACTGGTTTCTCTACTTCCAATGTACCCCTTCTCTTTTTTGGTCACTTATTGATAATTTTAGTTCCAGGACCACCATCTTCATTTATACCCCAATTCCCACCACTCTTCTGAGTGACTTCAAGGTGCATGGGAATAATTCATCTGACACTCTGGCCTATCAATCCCTGGACCTCCTCAACTCTAGTGTCTTTTACCTCGACTTTACTTTAGGTTTTGGATATACCCTGATCTCATCACCTAAAATCATTATGCCTAATTCTTAAAATTAAATTACAATCAATATTTTCACCCCCATATTTCCCAACTACTCTTTAATAAATTCCAACACAGCTTCTTTTCCCATGAATTTATCAAAATCATCAGCTACTCCCCTGTCGCTATATCCAATGGGAAATTTTCTGAATTTGTTTTATTTAAACTCTCTGAAGCAATTGAAACTGTTGATTACTTCATCCTTGAAATTACCTTCTTCCTAACATCTGTGGTACCATCTTGACCTAGTTTTCTTCCTACTGTCTTCCTCACTTTTCTCAGGCTCACTTTTCAATTTGTACCTTTCTTATAAATTGGTAAATTTCTTATCAACTTTCATCTCTCTTATCATGGGGACTTTACATATTAAATTCCTTTCATCAAAAACATTCTTCTTCCTGATTTTCTTTCACACTAACCTCTATCATATGCCTTTTTTCATCCTTTGTTTTCAAAGTGTAGTTCCTGAACTGGCAGCATGAGAACTTGTTTAAACCAGCAAATTATTGAGTTCCATCACAACCTACTGAATCAGAGACTTTGGGATTTTATTCCAGCAATTTGTGTTTTAACAGACCTTCTAGGTGATTCTGACGCATGCTAAAGTTTAAAAACTATAATTTAGGTCTTAACTGAAGTAGTACCCAATCTGAGAAACCATTTTTTACTTTCCAAATATTAGATTAGGTGCACTTTTCTATAACTCCTTCTCACACTATAAAATCTCCTTTTTAACCTTTGACATACTGCATTATAATTACCAACTTACTTATCTTTGTCATAATAGCCCAAGTTTTTCAAAGATAGGAACAAGTATTCACTGCTGCATCCGTACATTATAATGTTGTCCCTGTCACTCAGTAGGCTTCCAGTAAGCATTTATTCAATGAATGAATTAATGGAAGATAATGTGGTCAAGATTATGGTTACTCTACATTTATTATTAGGATCTTAGTATGTGACTGAGGTTAGAAATTAATTTGTACTAGGGGGACAAGAACTTTATCTACTGGGCTAAGAGGTTAAGGATCAGTCTGTGGTCTGCCATGTCACTCTCTAGCTAAGATTAGGAACTCAGACTACAGTCTAAGGTATGCTCTTAGAGATCTGAAACAGGAATATTAGCTGAGACTAAGCCACAGCCTATTCTGATATTGAGAAAATAAATCTTTCACAGTGACAAATTCAGGTTGCAGCTTAGTTTTTGCTAATATTCCGGCTTCTGGTCTCTAAGAGCATGTTTTAAAAGGAGCAAGTCAGAAGACTGAAGCAGAGGTATTTCATATAATTTGTCTTTATACTAAGTGTACCTACTCACCAGGCTCAGCAGCCAGTGGCCAGCCAATACTAGTTTCTAGCACTCCATGGGCATGCACAGAGTAGGGGCGGCTGGCATTATTCTTAAACACCACAGTCAGGATATCTCCAACTTCTCCTTTGATAAGTGGGCCTAATAAAGCAAAAGAAGTAAAAGTCTCATTAGTTCAGGATAAGAACAAGAGACATTAAAGCAAGAGACATACATGGGAGCTCCATATTATTAGGGGTTTGCCCTGAAAAAAAAAAGATCCTTCTGAAACTAAAAATCATGGCTGGCTCCATTTTTAGATTAGAAGCCCTTAAAATGATACTGCTACCCATAGGATGAAGGTACTTCAACAAAAGGATTATATCTCCAATTACCCCCACTTTTCCCACCCTAATTTTATAGTAGCTCAAGGCTCTGGAGAGTCAAGGTTCTGTGAAATCACTGATGATAAAAAGTGAGAGTTTGGCACAGAATAGATAGGATCTCTTTAGAGGCCAGTGGGTCCCTTCAGTGTCAAAATGAGAATGATGAAACCCATTAGCCCCTACAAAAGTGGGGAATTAAAAGTGATAATTAAACTGGGGTGCAGGAATAAAACTGGTTTCCTGTATAATTTTTTTTTCTTTACTTTTTGTTGCCCTTAAATTCTCCTACTTCTAGTATCTATTAAAATCTCCCACCCTCAGAAACCCTTATACCTCAAAAGTATGGACAATCTGGAAAAACTTGGTTCAGGTTGCAGCACAATTCATGATTTCTGCCCTCCCCCTTCAGTCTTATTTTCAAAGTTGTTTTTTAAAACATGGCCATATTTACAGCATATCATAAGGAAAGACTGTGAATTAGGAATGGTGAGGCCTTCCTGATACGATATAGCTGTCCTAGGAGCAGCTCAGACTGCTAGACACCATAAGGAAAATGGAATTCCCTTACCCAAAATTCCCAAGTGCTCCTCTGGTCCAGTCCTTGGCTGAGGGATCCTGAATGTACCATCAGTGTATTCCCTGAATACAGCTTTCTTGTATCTGGAACCCAGAAGCCCATCCATGTTGCTCAGGAAATTGTGACCATAACTAGAGGAATCCAAAGAGTGGTATCAGCACCTGGCCCTCAACCCCTCATTTTCAGATATGGGAAAGCTAAGTAAGAACCATTTTCATATCACAGATAGAAGAAGAAAATAATATATTTCTTCTACTGTCAGATTGTCCACCACATTGGCTATATAACCACAATTTAAAATGGCAAGATTCAGTATATATTTGTGTTCTTTGTTTGTCATCATCCAGATAGAAATTTATAGTACAGTTAATATAGCAAGAACACTGAGCTAAAAATCAGAAGCCCTGGGCTTTAGCTCCAACCATAATGGTATCTTAGATGGAATTAATTTTGCAAAGTAATAAGGTGCTAGGTGGCAAGAAAGTATTAACCGATGCTGTAGCTGTAGGGTAAAGGGTGCTGAGAGGTAGGGAGAAAATAAATTTGCAGACTTCTTACGAGATGCTTTCCAGTTTACAAAGAACATTGTCATTCATTTTATTATTTGATATTCTCAATAGACTTATGAGGTAGGTAGGTCCTAGAGGTACAATCAGTGGCCCAGAAGTGATCCAGCTTAGCTACCATGACACTGTCAGTTAGAAAGGGAGCCAGGAATTAGATTGAAGCCTGATGCTTCTTACCTCACTCCTTTTCTAGACCTGTTCTTTCAACCATACCACATCATTTTAAAGTTAAGTAAATCCACTCTCAGATAGGGGAAATAACTTTTCAAAATTTCCAAACCATATTAGCAGAAAGACTTCACCAACCAACATAAAGGGAAAGAATTGGCAAAAAAAAAAAAAAAGTGGAAGCATCCAAAAAAAACTAGTGGAAACTTCTAATCTGTAACTTCATTTTCATTCTCTCCTCTTTTTTTTAGTCATTAAATCACCTAAATTTCATCTGAGCATACAGTTGCCAAACCAAACTTTTTGCAGCTAGATATGGTCATAAAAATAAGTTCAGGACAATAGGGTATGAGAGAAAGCAATACACACAGCACAGCTTTCAGTTCATCTCCTTACAGGCAATGCTGCTTGCCCTGGACTTCTTTCTTCCTTCCTGATAGCTGAGAATAGCTACATCTGGAACAGGTATCTTGATCCCAAAGATAAAAACAAGAGTTCATGGTGACACAGTTCACCTACCAGTCATAGACTGCTCATATCTATACTATTATGTGACTAGGAAATAAAATTCTATCTTATTTAAAACACACTCTTTTAGACTTTTTCTGCTACACAGCTTAGTCTGTTGTTAAATGAATGCAATACCATTTTGTCATAAGACAACTGAGCTTGAGGCATTCAGTCCCTTCAGTAAATCCTGTATGAAATTTAAGTACCAGAGTAGGTACTTTCAACTACCTGAAGGAAGAGAGGCAAAAATTAAGAAAATGAAGGTGTGGGCAAGGTCTTTTATTTCAGTCTCACACTATATCAATATAGAAGAAGGACTACATGGACTTCAGAATGAGCTAGAATTCAGAAGACCTGCATTCAAATCCCTGCTCCCAGATCTGTTGGAATTGTACTAGATGATGTTAGATAAGTGCCTCCTCATTTCAGAGTTTTATTATCCTCATCTGTAAAATGATTATCTGAAAGTGTGATCTCTCTTTTTCTGAAGGCTTACCTGTCCATCTCAGACTGGTTATGCCATTCCAGTTCCCAGCTCCTGTCAGGGCAATAGTCCCATTCTACCTCTTCTGCCATAATGTAATAGATTCTTGCAGCTTGGTAGTGTTGGTGATGGGTAGCTTGGTGGCCAGGGCACTGGGAGACATTGTAGATTGCCTTCATCCCTGCTTCTCGGTGGCTGCCTGCCTGGCAGTAAATCTCAAATGTCCCTGAGGGAAGATCAGAGAGAAAAATCTGACTTAGAACACCCCTGGGCAGTGGCTAGGGGATTTCCTGCTTCTCTCTAGGTACACTGCAAAGAGTAGGGTAGTTTCAATTAAGGCTCTTCTAAGCATTAGATAAAATAGTATTACAAGTATATTGAAACTAATGAGAACAGAAGTTAAGAGTTCCATCTCCAAAGCTACACTGAGTTTAAAACTAAACTCTGGATTTCTGGGAAGATGGTAGCATAGCCAGTCAGACTACACAAGTCCCTGTGTATGTGAGTGATTGTACGGATGTTTCTGTATGTGTTTCTGTGTGTATCTGGGAGTGTGAGAGGCTGACTGAGCAGGGACTTGAGAGCAAGTGGCCAGGACCCTCTTGGTGAAGCCGCTGGTGCAGCAGCTATTCTGCTTGTACCCTAGCGCTTCCCAGAAGGTAGAAGCTGGGTGGCATTTCCTAAAATCAGCAGCGCTCTTCCTAGGAAGATCTGCTGGAGCAATTGCTGACCCAACCACCACAGTGTCAGTCTGAATGCTGGCAAGAAGGGCCACGGAGGAAGTACAGTGAGGGAACCTGAGGCAGAGCCCTGAGGAAGCAGTAGGGAGAGTCCATCCCAAGCTTGGACTGGACTCCAGTGTCTTGCCACTGGGTCCCAAGATCTGGAGACTGTGGAAATGGAAGGGAGCTACTGACCCCATTCATGGGAGGAACAGAGCCAGCAGGGAAATTGAGAAGATTCTCTAATGCCTGGGCAGAGAAGTGTTCCAAGGCAGTTACTGCAGAACAGCAGAATTGCATCTTGAGACCAGTCACTGATCTCTGCATTGCTTTGAGGCTGCTCTTTGTGATCCCAGTGCATAAGCCCTGGTGGGTAACTGCAGATGCAGAACTCCAGATGATCCACCCTCCATCCTGAGCCAGCTGCTGGGTGATAGATGCAGAGAGTGGAACTGACCAAGGACAAGTCTGGAGAGTGCCTAGATGACTCCCTTTCAACCCTGGCTATAAGCAAAAGAGATCAGGAGGGCAAGGCAGAGACAGGAGACTCCATTCCCCCCAGCAGGAACTGGATGCCCTGGGAGCTGTGACCATGCTGAGAGAGGAAGGAAGGGAGTGAGATCCCAAGATTTGCTGCACCAAGTTATTTCAGCCCCTTTCCCCCACACAGGCAAATGCCAGCTACCAGTGGTAGGCAGCAGGGGCTAAAGAGTCTAACAACTTAAATTCCAACAGTAACCTGCAGTAATAGATCTGCAGTTGCAGAACCTATCACAATAGGGAGCCCCCACTCTCCAAGAGACATACTAAAGTTGAGAAATCTTTATCAATGAGTTATTTTGAGAGAGCATATTAATTTGTTTGTTTGATTATCTTGTTTAGTTGCCTTGTTTGTTGGTTGGTTTTCTCTTTTCTTTCCTCCTTCTATTTCTCTCTTTTTGTTCTTTCTCTGGATTTATTTTTCTTTTGTTTTTCTTTCTTATTTTTCTCTCTTTCTCATTCTTTCCCTTTTTTCTCTCCTTCCTTCTCTTTTCCCTCATATACCCTGTTTTGGACTCAGAGGCTATGCAAGCATACCCACTGTAAGATCATATTGTGCAGGGACAGAGAGTGAGTCCCAGTTGGCCCATTCACCAGCTAGCAAACAATATGACTGGATGATAGGTTCTGAAACCTTGCAGCCCCTCACCCATCCCCTAATAAGTGCTCAAAATTGTAAAGAGACAGCACAGCACCCCACCTCCAGCCCTACTTCAAAACTGAACAAACCCGCAGTGCTGGCTCAAGAAAAGACAAACGGTAGGGCAGATATCAGAAGTGACTGTTTCTCCATTTTTCACTGAGAAATGGAAATAAAGAAAAAGTTAAGAGAACTGCTACAAATGAAAAAAAAAAAAAAGAAAAACCACTGATAAACATCAGAGCCAAAGAGTCAATGCCAGAAAGAATAGCTGCCTGGGCATAAACAATGAGTATCTCTGAGAACCATCGTACCCAGAAGTTACTTATGGATATCAGAGAATTGTTGGATAGAATGAATAAAAATCAAGAAATGCAAGAGCTAAAACTAAATGAAATTGCAACAGAAATGGACAGACTCAAAAAAGCATACTTAGAAATAACAGAAATAAAGAACTTCATCCAAGGAATAAATAACAAATTGACAAGCATGAGAAGCAGAATTGACAAGCAGAAGAATTTCAGAGTTAGAAGACCAAAATATGGAATTAACCCAATCTATTAAAAATATAGAAAAAAAAATTTAAGAATAAAGAAGAAACCCTCTAAGAGATGTATAATTTTAGCAAGAAACCAATCCTATGTCTTATTGGAATGCCTGAAAAAGAAAGAGAAATGGAAAACACCCTGAACAAACATTCCATGAGGTCATTCAAGAAAACTGCCCTCATCTGGCCAGAGAGATGACTACACAAGCACAAGAGATTCAGAGAACCACTACAAGACATCTCATGAGAAGAACAAAACATAGTAATTCATCTACACAAAGTAGGTATAAAAGAAAAAAATCCTAAAGGAAGAAAGGGGAAAAGGTCAGATTATCTACAAAAGGAGACCAATCCGAATTGCTGCAGACTTCCCTGCAGAAACACTACAGGCCAGAAGGAATTGGACTCTAATCTTTAATGTTCTCAAACATAAACAATTTCAACCAAGAATCAGCAACAGAGAATTAAAATCCTTCCTAGATATCCAATCCCTAAGAGAATATGCTGCTCAAGACCAGCTCCATAGGAGATTCTTAAAAGATGAAGTGCACAGAAAAAAAATGAAGCAAAAGAAAGACCATATACTTCACAAGATCACACACAAACACAGGAGAAGAACACACAGCATACCCACAAAAATGAAAACACACATAAATATGAACACAAAAGCTAAATGAAAGCAAAATAGCCTTATAAGAGCATTATGACAGGGACAAACTCTCATATTTCAATAATCAGCCTGAATGTGAATGGACTAAATGTACCACTGAAAAGACATTGAATGGCAAACTGGATAAAATAACACAACCCAGTAATTTGCTGCCTTGAGGAAACTCATCTCACCACAAAGGCTACTCACAGACTCAAAGTTTTAGGATGGAAAACAAACTTTCAGGCAAACATCACAAAAGAAAGCAAGAGCCATGACCTTAATATCAGACAAAACAACCTTTCAGCTATCAAAACTTTTAAAAGATATATAAGGACACTACATAACAATAAAAAATTCAATTAATCAACAAGAAATATCCATCTTAGACATATATGCACCCAACAGAGGAGCATCAGCTTTTTTAAAGCAGCTACTAAGTAAACTAAAAAAAATGATATTGACTCTAACACTATCATAGTCGGGGACTTAAATTTCTCACTAACAACCCTACTTAAATCATCAAGACAAAAAAATCAACAAAGAGATCCAGGCCTCAACTTGATGCTTCACCAAATGTACTTAATAGATAACTACAAGACACTCTACCCAACAACCACAGAATATATATTCTACTCATCACCACATGAAACATATTCCAAGGTCAACCAACCTCAGCCATAAATCAAGCATAAACAAATTTTAAAACCAAAATACTGCCATGCACCTTCTCAGACCACAGTGGAATAAAAATAAATATCACTACCAACAAAATTACTCCATAAACCACAAAGACATAAACACTAAATAGCATGATACATAATGACTCCTGGGTCAAAACAGAAATCAAAACAGAAATTTAAAGATTCTTGGAAACAAATGAAAACAAAAAAAATCTTACCATAACCTATGGGATGTCAAGAAAACATCAGGGGAATTTATATCTCTATGAACACACATCAAGAAAAATAGAAAGAGAACAAGTAAATAGCCTAACAAATCACCTAAGGGAGATGGAAAGGCAAGACCACAAAAAGCCTAACTTCACCAGAAGAATACAGATCACCAAAGTAACAGTCCAAATATGAGCATAAAAGACAAAAATATCATTTAAAAAATCAATGAAACAGAAAGTTGGTTCTTTGAAAGGATAAACAAGATTGATAGTCCCCTAGCCAGAATGACCGAGAAAAAGAGAAAAAATACCAAATACACACATTCAGAAATGCAAAATCAAGTCACAACTGACCCCAAATAAATACAAAGTATTATCAGAGACTTCCATGCACAACTATATGGAAACAAACTCAATAACTAAAAGAAATAGAGGTCTTTCTGATGTCAAACAACCTACCCAGGTTGAAACAAGAAAATATTGAGATTCTAAATAGACTGATAGCAACCCAGGAAATTGATTCTACATTATAAAAAATTTTTTAAAAAAAACTGTCTACAAAAAAAAAGCCCTGGACCAAACAGATTTCCAGCAGAATTTTACAAAATATACAAGGAGAAGGTAGTATCAATCCTATTGAAAGTATCCAGGCAATCAGGAAAGATGCACCTCTCCCCAAATCATTCTATGAAGCTAACATCACACTGATACCCAAACAGAGTAAAGATTCACAAAGAAAGAGAAATACAGGCCAATTTCTCTGATGAACATAGATGCAAAAATTCTCAACAAGATTCTAGCAAATTAGACCCAACAACACATTTTAAAAATCATCCATCATGAACAAGTAGGCTTCACTCCTGGGATATAGGGCTGGTTCAAGAACCCCAAGACCATGAATTAAATATATCAAAAGATGTAAAAAGAAGCACATGATTATCTCATTAGATGTGGAAAAACTTTTGATAAAATCCAGCACCCCTCTTGTTAAAAACCCTTGAACACCTATGCATAGAGGGAACATACCTCAAAATAGTAAGAGCCATCTATGATAAACCCACAGCCAGTATATTGCTAAACAGATAGAATTTGAAAGCATTTCCTCTGAAAACTGGAATGACACAAGGCTGTCCACTCTCATCCCTCATATTCGACATAGTGTTGGAAGTCCTAACTAGAGCAATTAAAAGAGAAGGAAATTAGGGGTACCCAAATAACAAAAGAGGAAGCCAA